GGTGAAAAATGTTTCATAAAAAATTAAAATTATAATTTACATTAACCATCTTAGTATTTAAGAATTGTAATAAAGATTTTATATCATTAACTCAAGAAAAGTCTCTATATTAGATTGATAATAATAATCAAATTTATGATATTGAAAATTATAAAAATATATATAAAAATAAACTTTTACCTTGCTAAAAAAAATAATTATATATAGAAGAGATTTTATTATTCATATCTTTTTTATTTTATTTGAAAGATAAGGAAAAACTTGTTAAGAAAAATAGTGGAGAACTTCTAAAATAGATTTTTATGAAAATCTAGTTTCTTCATTTTTTTGAATGCAGAAACCATGCATTTAAATATGTAGTTTCAATTTTTATTTTTATTTTTATAACTCTAGTTTTTTATAAAAATTAATTATTATTTTATTTTTAAATAGCCTCTTGGTTTTTAAGAAATCACTAAACCCATACTAAATTTAATTTAATGGAGAAAATATTATTCATTATTTTTAAACTCAATAAAATTAGATTTAAACTCAATAAAATTAGAATGAAATAAGAGTGCGGTCACATTTCTTATTTAAAACTTTTACACATTATTTATTTTCATGTTTTAAATTTTTTTGAAAAAAATTAATTCTTTATTTTTTATTTTAAATTAATATTTTTTATTATTTTTAGATTATTTTAATATATTTGTAAACAACTAAGAGTATGTTTAAAAATGTAATTATGGTTGCTTTTTAAAATATTTTTTACTCGAAAATATAAAAAATATTAATTTAAAATAAATAAAAATATAAAATATTTAAATTTTTTAAAATATAAAAATAATCATGATCTCAACAGCAACTATTACTATATTTTTAAATACATTAAAACAAAAGAAATTATTCTGCTAAAAATCGGATGTCTGAACGTACGAAGAACTAAGTTATAACCTAATTAAGAATGAAAGGACTAAAAGAATAGTTACTATTTGTCTTTTATTAGGTTTGGACGCAACAAGATTCCGCTATGTGGCCATCCAATTGAATACTGCCACGTCTCAAAAGGGCAGTAGACGGGCCTATTAAAGTTACCAGAATGCAGATGTATTGCTGGGTCACTTTACAAACGTGGCGTGCCGCAACTGGTATAATTTATGCGAGAAAATTACAGCGGTGTTGGCATTGCTGATGATTTTTTTATTTTAAAATACTTTTTAATTAAAAGTATATTATAAAAATATTTTTTTAAAAAAATATTTTTATATTTACTTATCCAAATAATCCAAAACATAAAATATATTAATTTAAAATAAAAAAATAATACTTTTCAAAATTACTTTTGAAACTTGTAACAAACATGATATTAACGCTGCCGGGCACAGTTTTTGAATTTTCCTTTGATGGTAAGTAAATCAACGAGAGTCATGGGTTAGTCTTTTAATTTTATTTATTCCCCGTACGAAATTTCCATGCGACTGCCTTTATGTTTCTTCACGGATAAAAAAATCATGATTCCGGACTTGCTGCACACCCAAGGCCTAGGGATTAAAACGGGGTGCTTTTGTCCCGAGGAAAGAGGCGCGGTTGACCAAGGGTTAAACCAAAAATGCACTGTTGGCTCAAGAGGGGCGGGTTGTGAGGGCGTCACAGATTCTAGGATTGCAGCCCATGCACGAAACTTGAGATTATTTTCTCATTTTAAAAATACATTTTTAAAAAAATTATTTTATTTTTTAGATTTAAATTAAGTTATTTTGGTAATTTTAGATTGTTTAGATATATTGATGTTAAATTTTTTTAAAAACAAAATTATTATATATATATTTTTAAATAAAAAATATTTTAAAAAATAACTATTATCATAATTTGAAAAAAATTATTGTTGCATGTTTCTATACTTATTTGAGAAATAGTTACAGTTATTTTTTAAATAATTTTTAGTGCTAAAATATATGATAATGATTTTTTTTATTTTTTTTTTAAATTATTTCTAATATCAGTATATCAAAATGATTTAAAAATACTAAAAATATATTAATTTAAAATAAATATAAAAAAATTTATAAAAAAAATTTATTTTTTTTTAAAATACTTTTATAACATATAAATAAAAACCCAATAAAATGTTTAGACATGTGAGGATTTTAAGGTACCATGTTAGAGTGAGTTTAAATATGTTTTTCATCAAAATTTGATAAGGATTAAGATTGATGTTAGTTTTAAATAAATTTGTCTGTTAATCTTTTTTTTTTTCAATTCAAATTTCCAATAAAAAATATGACTAATCAAACCTTTACATATTGAAATATTGCCTCCTTCTTAAATCAAAATTGATTCATTTAGAAAATAAATAAATTATATATTTTACCTTTTATTTTCTTATTTTTACAGTAATAAGAGGGTGATAATCTTTATTAGTTTATTTACGGAGAATTTATATTTAAGCAATTCAATAAAATAAAATAAATTTGATACGAAGAGACAAATCACTTTAAAGTCATGGAAAAAAACTTTAGTCCATTATTTTTATGGCTGAAAAAATTTATTTTAATACTCTCTTATTATTAATACATTGACCATTAAATAAATATAGTAATGTGCCCTAATAGAGTTACAAAGACTTAAAAAGACAACTCATAATAATTATCTTAATTTGACCGTCAAGGAAAGTGATTGATGAGAAAGAAAATGTTTCTATTTAATTTCTCAACATGATTTGTTTTTTTGAATTTGCTGGTATGTTACTGGTTATAGTTTGAATATCATGAAATCTCTCATGATAACTATGAGTTTTTCTACATAGGTAAATATGAGTATTTTGTAATTTTCAGAAAATATAATATCTTTTTCTAGCTTTTATGTTGATGGAGGAGGCCACCAAGCTGAACCACCTTAATTTCTTCTTTTTAACCATTCATTTAATTTTTTCAATTATTGAAGGACATATGCTTCTAAAAATAACTAATATTCTAAAATGTTTTATAATAATGAATTTTTATTTATTCATAAATAAACAATCATTATTGTATTTATAAGTATTTAAATTTATTGGCGATTAAGAAAATATATAACTTGAAACTCATTTGTTTTAAGGATCTAGTCACTTTAATAATTAACAAATTATTCATACTGTAAATTTTAAATTTTAAATACAATACTCAAACATGAATTATCATGTACATATTTTATCTATACACTTAAGAACATATAAAATACTTATTTTAAGATTTAGAATTTAATACGATACACCCACATGTAATTCAGGTGTTTTTGGATTTTTTTCAGGTGTTTTTGTATTATTTTGATAGACTAATATCAAAATAAATTTTAAAAATAAAAAATATTATTTTAATATATTTTTAAATAAAAATACTTTAAAAATAACTATTATTATATTACTAAAAGGTTGTTTGAAAGTGTAATTACTTTTTAAATAATTTTTTGTATTAAAATAAATAAAAAATAAAATATTTTTAAAAACATATTAATTTTAATACTAAAAAAAATTAAAATAATTTAAAAAATAAAATTTTTTAAAATCTTTTCTAAATACTTTTAAAATATAGAAACAAGTAGGCTCTAAATACTACTTTAATCCTTGATATGGGATTTATTACGTGCCTAGTTTTAATAATGATATTAAAGAAGGAATTGATTTGATATTATTGGATTAAAAACCTGAATTCATGAATGATTTTTGTTACCTCATCATCCGGGAAAAACCTAATCTAAACCCATTATTTTTTTCTTAACACTACATCACTTTACTTTTTTAAGAAAATAAAAAAATCAGATTAATTCAGTTAACTCACCTAATAAGTTACCTAGAAGTTGCCCTGAATGAACCCGGGGTGGGTAGAGGTGTATATATCAAATATTCAACATTCCTATCCTCGGACGCAAGTGAACGCGACTCTTGAATATCATAATGTTCAACGGCTCACTCATGGTATCCGCGACCAGAACCAGCTTTAGAGAGACCTTAATTTGTGAGGTTTTGAAAGCCGTCAAGATTGAAGTTCAAATATCTGGACGAGTGGAAGTCAGTCCATTGCCTTCGAGTTTCAACATCGAGTGTCCTTGTTATTTTTTTTTTTTAAATTAATATGAGTGTTCGGGTTAGTTTATGCGCATGCGCACCATGACTAATTCCACGGGCCCTGAAGTTAACGACTATGTAAGTCTCCAGTGGCCATCATATGAGTAACCAAGGACTCGAACCTGAAAGCAAATTTCTTGATCTCAAATTCTACGAGTGTCCTTGTTCTTGTTCTTGCTAGTCGAGATCATTTCAAGACAGGAGTAGAAAATCATAATTTTATGTTCAAATCCAAATAGATGAAGTTGTAGATGATAGCAGCAACTTTTAAGCTTCATAAACAAATTCCTTCCAAGCTGCAAATTTGGCAGAAGAGCCATTTCCATGGGTGTTTCTGTCATTCTCCATCAGCAAATATAATAATATTAATAATAATGAAGTCATTGATTTTATTGATGCCAATAGCAAATATGGTTTCAATAGGCAGCTCATCTCCCTCCCTCGAAGGAATGCAAGTTGAAGGTTTCCTACTGAACTCATCTGGAGAAAGAACATACAGAGTACAACATCATATAACATTTTTGGCTAACCAAAAATTGTATTCTAAGGAAGTTGAGGGAGGAGAGGACATGGAGTTGAGACCAACGTAAAATAGCAGAGCTAACACTGCTGTCAGTAAGTACTCCATGGCATAAGTTGGCACAACCAATCCCCCCAGTAAAAAGCAGAATCCAACTTACAACTAGGCTTACTCATCTTCTGATTTTCTCAATGCAAAAGAGTAGCAGCTAAAGCAATGCCATATGGCCACTGGTTGCAATTAAAAAGGAGGCTGAAAATGATGAATCCAAGAAAATGAAAGTAGCTGCAACGGCTGTAATGGAGGCTACAATACCATAAACTTCAGAGGATCTGGGGCTATGATATCCAGACACACCAAACCCAGAAGCGGGTTTTTCACCAGGATCAATAAAGGATACAGTTGCCTTGCCTTCCTCCTCTTTGAAAAACTAAAGCACCTCATATCCACTCCCAGGGAAACTCATTGAATCCAGATCTTCCTTGTCTTGCATTTTAAAAGGATCCACAGACCAGCACTGCTAGTCGATCTTTATGAACAATGGGCTCATATTGTTTCCTGGGCTTTCTAAACTGGTGAGAAATGAAAACCCGACCCAACCTGCGCCGTATACTTCGGGAGAGAAAGACAGAGTCTTGAAGGGGTTTTGACTTTTGACTTTTAAGTAATAGGGTTTAGTCTTGGGAAGTTGGAGGGAGGGATCGAGTTGATCTTGCATCTCAAGCCCTTATCGTTCCAGTCGGTGGTCTAAAGGCAGGTAAAATTTATTATTATCCTTTCATTTATGTGAAAATATTGGCTTGCATGACTGTTTGCTTGAATGAATAACTTGAATAGGAGGGTTGTTGGCTAATGGTGTTTTGTAAGAATCCCAGTTTAGCCTTCTTTTATTTTAATTTCTAGATTTTCTTGAATGAATAACTTGACGGGGAGGGATGGAGTTTATATTTTGGATTCATGAACATTGTCTGTGCTCCATGTTTCCTTGGCATCACTCACATGGATTTTATTGAATACCGGTAATTTCAAGGTCGTAATGTTGTAGTTAAAACTTTAATTAGAATAAAAAAACAATAGTTCTTTTTTTTTTTTTTTATAATCTTCATTTCAATCACGGTTTAAATTTAAAAAGCTGCATAGGTATAAACAAACAATCTTGCTGGATATGTCCCTCATTGCCCACTTGTGGCTGTGGACATATTTTTTTCCCTTCACCTACTCGTCGTCCTTATTTTTTCCTCTTGTAAATTATGTTTCTTTTATTACTATTATCTTACCATTTTAATGATTTTGTGTTGTGATATTCAAATAATCCCAAAGCTAAATTGACCTCTCGTTGCTTTTGAGGTATAAAGCAGACAACTATGTGTATTGGCTTTAGGAAAGCTAGTTAGTGTTAAGAGAAGGAAACTTGCAGACTTTATTTGAAAAAGTGGATTGGCATGAACATTCCTGAAAGAATTGCAGTGAGATTGCCACAGCTGGTCTTCCCTTCCTCCGAGGTGCTCTATAAACACAATCGTCAGTCCCCCTCCTTCCTTTTCTCCACACACACACACACACACACACACACACACAAACACACACACACACATGGACGCTTCTTCTTTTCTTTTGTCTATAAAGGATCTGTAAGTTACTATATAACTGTTTTATTAGTTGCTAAGAAAATGAAGCATAAGTAAAGGTTGAACTATTGCTTTTTGTTAACGCCACACCGTTCAGAAGCATCGCTTATCTATCTGAGCCATTTATTTATCAATTTCACTTAAGAAACTCCCTTTTCTACTGATTTTCTCTTTATATCTAGGTGTCCCAAAGTTGGGGTTTGTGCCATTTCTAACACATAAAAGGCATTTAGGGCTCGGGCTGGGGCTGGGGCTTTCAAAGAAAATGAGTTCGAGCATGGAGAATTGTCATGTTGATGTTCAAAATAAGTTGGAGGTGGTTCGGCCTGCCACGGAAGTTTATGCCCAAGAAGCAATTGAAGCTCTCAAAGCTGGGAAGGTGATTGCAGTACCCACGGATACACTGTATGGATTTGCTTGTGATGCCTGGTATGGAAATTTTGATTCATTTCGTTTTACTATTTGTGTTTAATTCCTCTAAATTATGATTTCTTGATAGTGAAATGTCCAAGAAAATTTAAGTGTTATTTTCTTTTTCCTGTTTCATTGTGCACTGGACCCGAAGAATTGAACTTCAAAAAAAATGACAGCATGAAAGAAGGGAATCTGGGCATGCTATTCTAAAAAAAACAAACACACAATCTAGAAAGTAAAGAAGATTTTGAGAAGGATGGAGCATTTGCTAAGAAATAGTTGATGGGTTTGTAGCTAATTGCTTCTGCAGATTTTTTAAATCGGGCCTTTATAAGTTTGCCTTCCCTTTATTGCTCTCATGGTTGTGCCCAGTGTCGTGTTTGATTGTTTAATAAGATAAAATGGTCGTGCTGTCGGCAATTACTGAACCTAGATTTTCCTGTCAATAGACGCCTCTTATTGAACTCTGATGGAGCTTGGTATCATATTCTAGATCACTCTTAAGCAAGGCATCTATTGCAGTTTTTCTTTCTGTTACTTTTGAGTGCACTTCTTTCCCAGTTTTAAAGGGAGTGATGATGCTAACATGTAAGGATATCATTGCAAATTTTTCATGGTCTCCTTCGCTTTGCACGTTGCACAATATTTGGGCAAGTCTGAAATCACCATATATTTGATAATCTGCTGTTTTCTCTTATGGCAGTTCTTTGGAAGCAGTCAATAGGATTTATGAAATGAAAGGACGTAACCATACAAGTCCTCTTGCAATCTGTGTTGGGGATGTGTCACAAATACAACACTTCGCGGTCACTGAAAATCTGCCTCATGGCTTACTTGATTCTCTACTTCCGGGGCCTGTTACTGTTATATTGAGGCGAGGTCTGTAGTCATTTCTTCTTACATGTGTAACAGGAAAAAAAATTGTTGTATTTTAGGATTAGGTTTTGTTTCATAACTAACTAAATAATCATGCAAACTGATGATCTTGTTATCCTAGATCCTTGTATCTATGTTATAAATTCTTGGCATGTAACTTTTAGTGTCTCAAGTCTTCATGCTTTAGAAGTATATGACTGGGTATTTTCCAGGGGAGTCGAGCGCACTTGAGAAATCCTTGAACCCAGGATTGGATAGTGTGGGAGTCCGTGTACCAGATTGTAACTTCATCAGGGTAGTTGCTCGTGGTTTGGGAAAGGCAGTTGCCCTCACAAGCGCAAACCTTAGTGGGCAGCCCAGTAGCCTCTGCATCAAGGATTTTGAGAACCTCTGGGACCGTTGTGCATATGTTTATGACGGTGGTGTACTTCCATCCAATCGTGCAGGATCAACAATTGTGGACCTCACCAGGCCAGGAAAGTACAAGATTCTTAGACCTGGAAGGTAAATTTCAATTAACTTTCATCGTGTAAATGAATAAAAAATAGAAGAGAAATCATAGATTGTTATAAGCTGTTCAGGTCAAAATTTCAAAGAAAATTGCCATTATGTGCGACGTTGATAGTTGCAATGCTGTGAAGGTACACTAAACCTTGGAATTTAGATGATTTATAAAATCAGATGAACCCTTAAGACATTTTCCCTGGACTTACAATCTCAATATTGGCATATATTTCAGTCGCATAGATGGCTCATTTTTTGCTGTAAAGAAACATGAAACCAGCAATTTGCATCTATCAGTTTTGATTTGTGGATTTTTATACGACAACTGAGTTGATCATAGACCATTGTCTGAGCTAGATTTGGATTTATGAAGAATTTAATGGAATCCATATTGAAATATTGCTCATAGAAAATTTCTTTCATACTTTTCTGGGTGTGCATGTTGGCAGTGACTGCAGACGCCAAACTAGAATCATCTAAAAAAGAAATTCTCCTGTCGAACTTTGTTTACCCCCTTCGATCATGAAGCCTTGTAATGTGGATGCAGATGGTCCTTTTACTTTCATCTTCCTTTATTTTTTTGGTGATGCTGTCGTAACTACGCTACTTTTTTCTTGTTTTTTCAGCGCTAAGGAAGAGACTCTGGCAATCCTTGAAAAACATTCTCTAGTCGAGGAAGCTCCGGCGATTTGAAGAAAACATTTGAAACCAGCTATTGTGTTGTGGAGTATCATCATCGAGAGATTCTTTTAAGAAATATCTTTAGGATTTGGGGGTGGGGGATCCTGGGTTTTGAACCTGGTTCTCTCACTCTCACAGAAAATGATCATATGATCAAGTCAATGTATGGCATGAATTAGTAACACTAGCTTAGAGTTGTTGCTAGTCAAATATAAACAGAAATATTGTTGACTGGTTTTTGGTTCCTTTTGATGCCTAAAAACAACACCCCTGGGTGTTTTTAGCCTTTTCTAACAGTCGACCATGTAAAATGAATACCGAGAAAAACTTCAATCTTGTTAAACAGATATACGGGGGAGAGGGGGGGGGGTATCTGGTATTGGAGAGCTTTGAATCTGCTTCTCTTGATATTGTTCTTCAAAGTATTTTTTTTTTCTTTCTATGTTTCCCCCAACACATGAACCATTCATTCAGACTTGAGAATTTGCAGCTATAGAGGCCTGCATTTGTGTGTTATGAAAATGTGTGGTGCCTGGCATGTCCAGGACTAGATTTTTTGCTGCCAAGTGCCGCTGCTTGTTAAGAGAGGAGAGCAGGGCAGGGCAGGGAAGGTGATCAATTTGTTAATTAGGCTGTCAACTTGATATATAAATTATATAATATTTTCTTTGACAATGGAAGGGCCGAGCCCATTGTTAAACCTAAAAGCCCTTGGCGCTTTAACAGCAGCGACTTGTGTCTTTCTTCTCTAGTATTACGTTTAGGAAGCAGAAGAGAAGCAGGTCTTTCTCTCAAGTTTCTCCTGTACCGCGAAGTCTGCACCTCTCTGTTTCTCAAAAACCCCGACTTAATTATCATTCATAGTTGGCAGCAGAGCAGCAATTAGGAAAGAGCTTTTCTTTACTTGTCTGGCTTCTGAAGCAAAAACCCAGTACAATAACGCAAAGGCAAGCTTTGTTTCCCTTTGTTCATGCTGCTTCTGGCTCGTACTACAGCCATACTACTTCTAATTCTTTTCTTTATCATTAGTTAAGCTAATAAGAGTTTGTTTTAAGCTAATAATAACTGTAGGTGTATTTTTTTCTTCTGTTTTAATTTTAAGATGGATGGGCTCGCAAAGTTATGGTATAAATTTTTGTTTTGTAGGATAGCTTGATATCAAGTTTGGTTTTGTTTTGTTTTGCATTGAAATTTAATGAAATTTCGGAAAAAAAACAAGTTGTAGTTGAGTAAAAGTCCATGCTCTTCAGTTTGCCTTAACATGTTTAATATCCGATTTGCAGCTTGGAGATTACGTGAGGTTTAAAGATCGATTAACTAATTAATGTGTTTGTGATATCCTGGAGATTATGTAAAGAACCCATGGATTTGATTATATGTGAGTGACGTGATTTGGAGTACGTTGCTTCTGTGATCCGAAACATTGTATTTGCTATTCACCAAGTCATGGAAACCCATTCCTTTCTGCAATATCTTTTATCAGGTTAATAGTATTTGACAGAACAAGTCTTCTTACTTAGGAGCAGCAGCTGTACATATTCCTAACTGTTACCCCCGGCATTTCCTCGTTGTGAGACCTTTTGTTATTAAGTCTTACTCTTTAGTTTCTGTAATAAGGAATTGTTTAGATGTTCATTTTGTTAGTGTGAACAAGGAGTTTATTTGGACAATTTTTTGTATCTGTCCAGGTTTAAGGCTTAGTGCAGCCAATGTGATCTTTACGTACACCTTGTTCTATGTGCCAGAAACTTGCTCTATTTTTGGGTGTGACAATAACTGTCATGTGCGAGTGACATGCATAATAAAGACTGTTGAAAGGCAGAACATAATAAGAAATACAGAAGCTCAAGAAAAGTGGAATGATGGAGGAGCAAGTAAGATTACTAGAAGGGCCGTGGGGGGATGTGAGGGAGCTAAGCCTAGGAAACAGAATACAACGGCTAGACTCGGCTCCAACCCCACTCGAATTCCTAAGAGACTATGTATCCCCTAACAAACCTTGCATCATCTCCAATGCTATCTCCCACTGGCCTGCTCTCAGCCTCTGGCCTAACCTTTCTTACCTTTCTTCCTTCCTTTCTGATTCCATTGTCTCCCTTCACCTTACCCCTGATGGGCGCGCTGATTCCCTTGTTCCCCTAGAAACCCCTAAAAAAGGAGAAACATGCTTTGCCTCTGCTCACGTGGAGCATGTTCCTTTCCCTTGCGCTCTAGATCTTGTTCTGAATTCTGAAACAAAAAATGTGGTGGGATACCTGCAGCAGCAGAATGACTGTTTTCGGGAGGAATACTCGGTGTTGGCTTCTGACTGTGATGCGCACATCCCGTGGGGTACTGAGGCACTGGGAGGCTGCCTTCCGGAGGCGGTGAATCTGTGGATTGGAAACCATTCATCTGAGACGTCATTCCACAAGGACCATTACGAGAATCTGTATGCTGTTGTTTCAGGGGAGAAGCAATTCTTGCTACTTCCTCCTACAGACGTTCATCGCATGTACATTCAAGAGTATCCAGCTGCTCAATATTCTTATTCCAGTGGCTCTGGAGAGTTCAGATTGGAGTTGGAGAAGCCGCAGAGATATGTGCCTTGGTGCAGCGTGAATCCTTACCCGCCTCCAGAGACTAAGGAGAATGAGATGTCCAAATTTCCTTTGTATTTCAATGGTCCGAAGCCCTTTCATTGTACTGTCAAGGCTGGAGAGATTCTCTACCTGTAAGAAAGATTTGCATTTACTTGTTCGATTTGCTTCACACACATTACTTTGTATGTGGATTTGCATGGATAGCACTGCTCAAAAGCATTTAACTTTGAAATACAGTTCATACAAGTGAATGTTTTTGGTGAGTTTTAGACGGATATGCAGCAAGGCTGGACTATTCTGCTGAATAATAAACAAATTATAATATCGAGGCTAATTTTGTGAAGTTGATGCAGGCCAAGTATGTGGTTTCATCATGTTCGACAGAGTCCAGATGACAATGGACGCACCATTGCCATAAACTACTGTAAGAATCTAGTACTTTTTTTTTTATTTAAAAAAAACACTTCACACGATTGTTGAATGCTAACGCATAGATATGTGGCAGGCTATGATATGCAGTTTGACATCAAGTATGCTTATTTCAATTTCTTGCAATCAATTCATCATGGGTCGACGTTGATGAATTATGACGCAACCAAGTTCACCTTAAGTGATGAATTATGTATTGATGCTAATGAATTGGAAGCAGAGGAAGCCAATCAAGAAGATACTAAAGACTAATGAGCTTTGATTTTTTAATGTGGTGGTTGGTCTGGTTATCCAATTCATTTGCGAAATCTTCAAGCAGAATATGCAAAGAAAATCACAACAGAAGACATTTGCACTGTCTCTGTCACATGTTAACATGGTCACAATTGATTCATGCAACTTTGATTCTTGTTGGCTGCTGATTATTTTCTGGTGTTTTTATCTTACAAGCTGAAACAAAGAAGATATATAAACATTGAAAACTAAACAATCACAATCTTCTTTTTCTTTGATGCCAAGAATTCTTCCTTGTCCAGGAACAATTGTGATTACAAAAAACCATGTACACTAACTTGTCAAAAATTGATGAGAATGTGGTAAACAAACAAAAGAATAACGACATTCTGCAGAAGAAATCACTCAGTCACCTCACTCACCCCTTTAAAGCAAAACAAACTGTATATAAACAAATAAATTAATAAATGAAAAAAATGAACTCAAAGGCACGCTTAGGCTGTTTCTGTCTGTGTTTCCTGCAATAAAAAATGGAAATCAGATCTTTGTCGGAGTAGCGGTGGAGGATCCATGTTGGATAAGTGGATTGCACTCAAGGATCCGAATATCTCTTCCATTGAAAAAGGTATGCTGAAACCAAACCAATTGATTGTTATTTACATTATTAATTTTCCTTCTTTCTTCTTCTTCTTGCAGTGCTGGTGGAAAATTAGCAGTGATAAGAAAAGAAAAGAAAACATTGCTGGTCTTAGTACTTATCATACCTTGAATCAACATCAAGTAAGAATGTATTATTAGGCATGCTTATTGAATCTTCTGCCATTAGGGTTCTCATTCTGCCAATCACCTGCAAAAAGGATTTTTGATTTTTCTTAACAAAGCCCACTTCCGACTGACTACTAAACAAATAAACGAGAGTGCTTTGCTTACATCTGAAGATAATCCCTGAGTTCCATATTTGTCATCCAAGAACATAGTTCCAATGCGATATATTTGTGGAATGCTCAACATCTATCAAAAACAGAATTAACAAATTATATTATACCATATTTTTAAGTTATTTTTATTTACTATGCACACACTAGATTACTTACTGGGCAGAGTTCATTTGTGATCTCATCCGAAGATTTTTGAGCCTTTTGATGCGAAACCTGCATGCATATATTATCAAAACAATCCATTGATTAGTTCAAATCAAATTCACCATTCTGGAACTAAGTCCAAGAAACAAAGAAAGGCCTTTTCGATTTTCTAAAAGGTGTACCAGAAACCCAACAGCTTGTCTTATGTGTCGGAGTTCATCCCATGACGATCCTGCGAACTGTGAAATAAATAACATGTTATAGTAATTTTCTTTCTTTTCTGCATTGCTAATCATACATTGATTGCCTTTTTGCTTACCTGATCTGATGCTTTGAGACACCACTGTTCCAATTCCTGCAAACCAGCCTTTACATACTCTCCATTGCTAAATGAGCAGCACTCACGACGAAGCAATAAGCTGCCAGATCAACCATTTGGATTGAGTATAACATAGATTATGAGAATGCATTGTTAAACACATGAAATAAAAAAAATAGAAATGAAAAATCTTCTTACCTATTAAAAAGCTGTACATTTATGAATGAGAAAACCTGACTAAAGATTTTCCTTATGAATACAGGAGGGACCTGAAAATTTCAAAAGGTTAGGTGATAAATACTTTCCTTCCCAGTCTCTGTACTGATACTTCAAGTCTGGAAAACCTAGTGGAGAGAAGATTCATTCTTACATGGTTCTCTGTCATTATACCCAAGGTCTGATCTAGCTTATTGACAATGCTTTGCCAATGTATATTTGACGATTGCTGTTTAGCAACAATACTCAAATGGATATTTTTGGATGACCCTCTTATTGATCTAGCTCTTATGGATCTTGGAGCCTGTTCATTTAAGTAAACATGAAATTGCCATTAAATGACTCAACTCTTACTTTGTGTGAATTCACTCTTAACCAATATGCTTACTTGGATGCACAAATTCAAAAATGGACCAATCTCTTTCTTAACACTGTCTCTGATCAGCCCATATATTTTCTCAACGTATGCAGTCAGATGTTGCTTAAACAGCAGTGCTGGGTACTTAGCTTCCACTTTTGATTGATCATTTCCATTTCCCACCATTCCACTGTACCCACTTGACATTCCCATGCCAACTGAAGATGAACGGAATCCCTGATATTGGATGCTCGAGTATTATGATTTTGTCATGGAATTAGATTTACTAAAGAATTAACTTGATAGCACTTACCAGTGCCATTCTACCAAATAAGGTAGCAGGGGATGTTCGGTTACGTTGTGAAGATATTTTGGTTGTATTGCTTGCTTTAAGAGTATTTTGAAGCAGATACAAAAGGGTAGAAGTTGTCGATAGCCAATATGCTAGATCAGTGATGTTGTCTTGACTCTACAATAGCACAATATAGAAAATCAGTATCACAACATTACGAAGTATATGATGCAAAACTGATAGTATTTTAATTTCCTTATATCTGGTTATTGCAGTTCCATTGGTTAAGGATTCCACCTCTATTGATGATCGAATTGTGTGAATAATCCTATCAAATATAGTTGTCTTCTCTGCTTCGAAGGATCTCCACTGAAGAAGTGATTTATACACAACACAGGCGGCAACAGGTCTGGTCTCATCAAACCGCTTATCTTCTGTAAGACACTTGATAAGTACATCATGGTTTTCCTGTCCATAGAGTAGAAATAATAGAATTTCCTTTTCAGCAATTACACAATTGAAGCACAGACACTCTTTTGAAATATTTTCTGGGTTCTGCAAGAATTCAGCATCAAGCTGGGTACCTGCTGCCTGTCTGTTAGGGGTCTTTGTGTAGTTAAGAGGGAGATGGGAGGCCCGGATTCCTGGATGCAAAATTTATCATTAGGTCTAGGGTTAATTTATGGCAGTATCTATTTGCTTCTGGAAATGTGTGTTTAAGGAAGGTGGCTGTACCTTTGTCATTTGAGGCTCTTCTTCTGTTTGATGTCCATTCTCAAAACTCTGAATCATTAAACAAGGTTAATTAAAATTGTAAGATGATTTTATCCAAGGAAAACGACAGTTTTAGAGAAGCATACCTTGACTTGAGGCAGAATCCTTTCAGGAGTCGCTACCTGTTCCACAATTGCTGGTTGTTTGCGGAGCAATTCATTCTCTGACTCCAGCTCTGCAATCTTACTCTTGAGTCTGGATAAAAGGTACAAAGCTTTCAGATTTGTATGAGAATGAGTAGTTTAATCTTTGGGCTTCAGGATTTTTTAGAAACTTCATGGTACATTGACATGTTGCTTACCCATTTCAACTTGGCCATACAAAACCGAATCAATTTCAAGTACCAAATTAGATTTACGGGTATCTCTGCTAAATAATCTACACTCACACACACATGTAAACATCTCTTTTGTCACTCATCAATGGTACTATCAGCCGGACTTTGTTGCATCTCATCATGGATTTTCTCCATTAGCTAATTTTTTATGGGAACAACGCAGAGAGGGTGAAATAGATTAATTTTTCAGGTTTAATTATGTGACTGAGTCTTACATTTTTAATTCTTCAGAGTGATCCTCATTTGTTGATGCATCCAAAGCCTGCTGTCGTAGAACTTGATTCTCTGATTCGAGGTTGGACAAATTTAATTCCAATCTAAAAATCATAAAGTGTTAGTAAACCCCAGCTAAAGATCACAGAATGCTTATGTAAGAAAGCCATGAAAATTACCTTTCAATGGTGTCTTGAAGTTTCATTGTTTTCAGGTGTGATTCTTCGGCCTCTATAGTTCTTGCTTTGCTCTCTTTCTCAAGTTCAGAACACTTATTCTCGAATTCCTCCATCTTCTTCTTCAGCTCACTTAGCTCATTCTATGTATTCATAATATAAATTATATTATCCATCTAGGCAACAGTAGACTCACGTGTGCACTCGTGTGTGCTTGGTATGCATGATGTTGTTGTCAGGCTTGACAATTTACTCTTTTCGAGGGTTTTTGTTCTTTTGGTCCATCAATTTTGACTCAAGTTAATTATTTACAATTTCACATAAAGCTATAACTTTTGTCAAAATTGTCAATTAATGCATCATAATGTAATATACTGATACTGCTGTAGGATGTTAGGTGGTCGAACAGTGTCATACCTCCAATTCATCATTCTGGTTCTTCAGTAACTCCAGCTTGGTGTTATCCACAACTGGCACCTCTTTGATAACCGGTGGAGCTTGTTCTATAGCTAACTTTGCCGCTTCTTTTTCATGGATTATTGCGGCATGGGCTTCATCTAGTTGACCTTGCATCTCATGTAATGAACTTTGCAGTTTTGCAATTTCTTGCCCTTTAGCTTCTTCAAGATCAAGCTACACACACACACACACACACACACAAATGTCATGGGCATAGTCTGGCCAATCGAAGAGGAGCTTAACAAAAAGATTGGACATTGTTAGCAAGTTTCTTTACAACTTTAGATTCTTGGGCATTTTGGGGAGTAACTGACTGTCTAAATAACTGATTGTCAAATCAGCATGTACAAGGAAGCATATAGGATGTGTTCAATATGAAGGTGATAATTTTCCAGCACTGTAAGTGAAACGCCATTTAAATTTGTTGATGAGTAGTGTCCATTTCTAAATATAATTATGCTTTGTTAAACAAAAAACAAATCCATTTCTTTCTTGTTGCATGATCAACTATTACTGTGCTACTAGTTATACTTTTTTTGGAACTTTGATATAAAAGATACCCTCAAGTGCTTTTCAAATTCTAGTCGCCATGTTAGCTCTTCAACTCGCTTCTCTAGCTTATCCTTAGCTTCCTTTAGTGCCCCAGTTTCTCTTGCAGCCTGCATCATTATATTTGTCAGCTCTATTGTGCAAATACCAACTGTAATTATAGTGCAATAGAATTGTTGAATGTCAAGAATTGGTAGAGAACTGCAGTTAAAACTGCTTATAGGTAGTTACACTCACCATTTTGAGCTTTCTAAGCTCCTTCCTAGCTGTCCTTGCTCTCCAAAGGCATTGCAATGCTAGAGTTGCGATCTTATGCTGCTTATATGCAGAAAGAGAATGATATCTTCTCCATCGAGTCTATAAAATTAAAGATTTGATAAGACAGGAAAAATTATTAGTCAGAAATCGTTCATCTGA